AGCACATCCCACTCCCCCTACCCAAAATGCTTGAGGGAAGGCACTTGGATCTGGCCTCATGCTGTCTCTGGAGGGAGACAGATTCTTGTGATCCCTGCCTAGAGTCAAAAGGAGAGCCTGGGGGATCTTCTGTCACCACAGAATTTTCATCCACACACCTCCATTGCTTTCTGCTTTTGTTGAGTCTCTTCCTGGAGGGTCCCAGAAACAAGGCTGAGCTTCTCACAGTCCCCTTGGATCTGTACAATTGTAGCCTCCAAGTAGTGCAGGAGCTCCTGGTCCTGCCACAGGGGAGGAAAAACATAGTGCTGAGCAAGAGGGGGGCTGACTGCTCAACAAGGACAGACCCACATTACTCAGCCAGTGGCCACAAGCTCTCAGTAACAACAGGATGTTTGAATCAAGCCTTTAATTTCTGTCCATGCCACTGACTGCTGCAGTTTGGGTCTCCCCCACATTACAGCACAGCACATGCAGCTGAGGGATGCCATCAACCTCCTCCCCAGTCCCCCATGCTGCCAAGTGCCTACCTGGCCCCAGTTCCTCATCATTGTCTCGAGCTTGGCCACTCTGCCCACAGCCATCTGCCGTGACTCCAGGGAGTCCACCTGCTCCTGGAGTTTCTCACAGCACCGGAAGAGCTTTCCCAAAAGCACTTTGATATTGAAGCTGCATTTGGAGCAGTCTGCACTCCCCTCTTCCTGCTCCTCCTGTAGGCTCCCAGTTGACTCCGCCATATCTCCAATCTGCAGGAAGGGCAGAGGGAATTGACTTGGAGATGGGATGAATGGAATCAACAGTGTTGGGTGACCCCAGCCAGTTGGGGAATATGGCTGGAAACACAATCAGGGGTACTGCACCAAGCCAGTGGGTGGTAGGAGTCCTACCCCAGCTGTCCCAGACATCATCTGCTCCAGCATGGCACTTCTCATCTGCTGCTGCTGCTCTTCCAGCTCAAGCTGCAGCTCCCGCTTTGTTTCCTGCAGCACAGCCCTGGCCAGAGAGATGGAGGCAAGGGCAGGGTTACCCTGCAGGGCTGCTCGGGGACTGTCCTGTACCCGCAGGCCAGGGTGCTCCAAGATCCCCTGGGCTCCCTTGCAGCCCCACAGGGTATGAAACCCACTCTTATCCTCTTACTCAATTTGCTGAGAGATCTCTTCACAGCTCTCTTCTCTCCACTTGGTTGTCTCCTCCCTGAGCTTTTTAATGTCTTCTCCCATCTTCTTCATCTGGGAAGGTCAGTGATGGCAGAGTCAGGGCACAGACATCAATCCACGTTGACAGACATCAATGGCACGTTGTCCCAGCATTGGGGCCCTTCAGCTGCACGGAAAACCCCAGGGCCCCCCACCCATTCCTGAGACCCTGACCCTAAACCACTGCTCTTGGAGTCCCATTGAAGTTCCCCATGAGAGCCCAAAGATAACCCAACCCAGCAGCTCACTAAGCCAAGGGCCTCCTTTGACTTCTTTACGTCTCCTTCCACGCGGGTCTGTGCTGTCCTTATCCTGTCAATCTCCTCACGGAGATCCTGCATGAGATTTGTGTCCTAGGAGAGAGGAGTGGTGCTAGTCAGTCTCTGGGGAGGGTCAGTGGGGACCTGCAAGGCCTTGAGCCCTGCCATGGTTTGTGGAGCACTGGGGGACAGCGCAGGGCCCGGCTCAGCCAGGCTGGGAGGCTGCAGGCAGCATTCTCCACACATCCAGCCGGCAGAGCCGAGGGCACTGGCTGCTGTCTCAGAGCCAGGACTTGCTCCCAGCAGCAGTTCACCTCATTCTGTGCCTTCTGGATCTTCTTCATGTCCTTTGTCATGCCGGACTGTAGGAGAAAGTGGTATCAGAGATGAGGAGTGTGGGCAACAGGACCGTCACCACCAGAGTGGTATTCACAGACCTGTGCCTTCTGGATCTTCCTAATATTCTCTGACATGCGGGAAAGTTCTGCCTTTATCTCATCAAACTCCTCAAGAAAAACCTGTGAAGCAGTCCGAGAAGTGGGATATCAGAGGTGATGGGCAGGGCAGCAACACCCCAAAGAGCCCCACCCTGCCACGGGCAGCCCATGGCTCAGCCAGGCCAGCAGGTGCCGGTGCCACCAGCCCCAGCCCAGCTCAGTGCCAGAGCACTGCAGCCCACGCAGACGGCAAAGAGCCACTGCCAGCAGCTCAAGCTCTGCCTGGGCAGTGAGGGCAGTGCCAAGCACCGCTGTCTGAGGAAGTGAGGAGGGGGCTGTCTGGTGGGGGAGAGCCCAGGGGGCTGGGAAGAGCCTCTACCTTGGACATGTGTTCCTTGTTGTTTTTAATCTCCTTCTTCATCTGTTCCATCTCAGTGGCCAACTCAGCAAGTGAGGGGCCACTCAGCTGGCCCGGCCACGGCTCCTCGGTGGTCAGGTACTGCACGTCCAGGTGCTCCAGCATGACCAGCAGCAGTTTTCTCTTGGCTGCAAATTGAACGGCCCCTTTCTCGGGAACCCCGATGGAGAGATCCAGGAGCTGGGAGGGGCTGAGCTTGTCCAGGGATGTTTCCATGTCTGCACACACTCGGTCCCTGGTTGGTCAGAAGCCTTCTTGCCCAGCTGGGTCAGTCAGGGATGAGCAAAAGGGATGATAAAAGGGATGAACAAAAGGGATGACAGAAGGGACAAGCAAAAGCAATAATAAAAAGGATGAACAATCAGCAGTCTCCTTTCTCCTTCCTTGTACATCAAATGACTGCAGCCTGTGCTGCTCATGCCCCTCTTCATCAGAGCTCCCGTTGCCAGGCAACACACACCACTCCACTCTTGGGAACCAGTAGGACCCAGACTCATGAAGTTATGGAGTCATGGAATGGCTTGGGTGGGAAGGGACCTCGAAGATCCTCTCTTTCCAATCTCCTGCCATAGGCAGTGGCACAGACCAGCCAGGCAGTGCCACAGGCTGTGGGAGCCATGCTCTGCCCTGGGGACAAAAGGCAGGGCAAGAAAATGCAGTGGTGCGTCTAGAACTTTTACAGCTCTAAAGGGATTCTATGATGTGCCATGTAATTCCACATCAATATCCAATCTTCCCAACTGACTCACACTTCTGCATTTGTACATCAGAATACCCCAATGATGCACAGATCCCAAAGAACGTCTCAGTGATCGTGAAGAGAGTCCCCGCTCGAGCTACGTGAGTATCCATGAAGCACTGGATTCCCTGTGAAGGATGTCAGGGTGTGAAATTCTTCTATGGATATGGGTTTACAGAGGCACTTGGACTGTATCTGGCCAAAGCTGCTGTTTCTTCTTTCTTCGTGGGGTAGATTTTAATGTATCTGCTCCAAAGCACTTTCAGGAATGGGGCAGACACAATTTCTTTGGGCAACCTGTGCCAAAGCATCCTGACCCTCACATGGAATATTTTCTTCCCAATACCCAATCTAACCCTGCCATGTCACAGTGTGAAGCCATTCCCCCTTGTCCTGTCATTCAAAGCCCTTGTGCCAAGCCCCTCTCCAGCCCTTTTGGAGCTGGATGGAAACTTGCATTTATTAAATGTTTTGCCATATGCCAGGTCAGGTCTTACAGCATCTTCTGCCTTCTGCCAAACTGGGGCTTCACACAAATCTTCAGTCTCATGTTTGTTTTTCGCCTGCAACACTTTCATGTGTTGCTCCCTGCATCAGGAACTCTTGTCCCTGTTAAACCAACAGCTGCTTTTTGAGTCTTTTGCTTTGTAGCTAATGATAATATTTTGTAGTTTCTCTCTTTCTTTCCCTCTCTGTTTTGGAGAGCTGGACTATTTAACACCTTGCATTGCACCAGGGATGTATTCCTCTACTCAAGCATATAACACAGAAGAGAGGCAGAGGAATCTTCTCAGGACACAAATACACAAACACCGTGTCCCAGCCATGTTTGGCAGTGGTGCTGCTGTAGCCTTGGGCTGCCTCAGTTCTTCCTGCTCCAATGTGAGGCTTACATGGGCCGTGCTGGGTTCTGCCCACACCTTTGGCTGGTGTGAGGTCAGTGGGGCTGGCTAGAGTGTGGCTTCCCACCTTATCTGGTTCCCTGGCAACCCAGGTGCCCAGGTTCTGCCTTGGAACCCTGCCTTTGTCCAGGGAACCCAGGCACTTGGGTGCTAGGTTTAGGTCATGGGCTGGTGGTTTGTGGCCCTGATGCTGATGTTGGTCCCCTGGCACCCTAGAAACCCTAGAAACTTGTGGCTGTGGATCCTGATGTCCTGCCTCCCTGAGGTGCACCCCTGCCTGCTCTGCTTCGGGCCCCCCCTTCAGCGGGCACGGCTTTGCCGTGACATTACTGGAGCCTTTGCCAATAACCCCAAACATAAAGAATGCCATGAGGCCCTTGTTGAGGCTGCTCAACCACTTGCCTCCGTCACTGTAGGTATGTCATGAGTCCCTAGGGACATCAAACCCAACTGGGATCCTGCCCAAGGACATCTGTCCTGACTGGCCCCTCCTTTGCACCAGGGACATCCATCCCAAAGGGGATCCCCACCCTGAACAGCACCCCAGAGCCCTCTGGGGTTTCTCATGTCAACCAAGGCACTCACACTGACACTGAGCAGGATCCCAGGAAGCTGGGACCCACCCTGGACAAGCATCCTTGGGACTCACAACCATGCCAAGGTCTTCTCTGTCCTGATTTGGCCCCCAGGGACCTTTGGGAATCCCAAACCTGCCTTGAACCCTGAGAATCACCTGACCATGACACACTGGGGATCCCTTTTGGACCTTAGGAATCCACAGGGACACCTGACATTTCCCAGTATCCCTTAAATCTTGGTCAGGACTCCAGGAACCCCCAGAAACCCCCAGACTTTACTGCTCCTTCCCATCCCAGAAACTCCAACCCTAACCCTGTACTGATTCCTGTGTCCCTGTACTGGTTCCAGGGTCAGGACAGCGTGAGGAACTTCGGGAAATCATCATGGATGCTATGTTTTTTTTAGAGGAACAAAGGGGCAAGAGTGAGCAGAATGAGGGATGTGAGACACAGGACATGGGACATGAGACATGGGGCAAGGGGGGTGCGATGTGGAGGCCTTGAAGGGGGATGGGGTGGAGGTGAAATACAAGGTGTATGAAGATCTGGGAGATGTAAAGGGATATTTGGGGAATCATGAGGGTATATGGGTTTCAAGGTCTACAGCTTCCTGGGGAGTTTAGGGGATATTTGGGAATATACCTCACTTAAGGAGGGATATATGGAGTCAAAGTTAGTTGTATAAGGGATCTGTGGGGTCTGGGGTAGGTCTATGGGGACCAGAGGGAGGGCATATTGTCTTACCTGGACATTTGGGACACAACAGAGCCCCTGAACGAGACTCTGCAGGAAGCTGTCAACACAATCTGGACAAAGCTGAACCAACTGGGGAAAGGTATGGGGCCACCCTGGGAGCCCCTGTCCTAGAGAAACTCCCAGGGACCCCATCTGGGCTGGACAAGGGCTGAATCCTGACCAGCTCATTACAAGGATGTGGGTCCCGAATGATGCCCAGTCTAAAACTGCTTCCTCCCCACCAGTTCCAGCCTGCATCCCACCCTGTGGTGAGTGTCTGTCCCTCTGTCTTGCCCTCCCCTGTCTCCTGGTACATCTCCCACTTCCCTGGGATCACCAAGTCTCTCTTTCCCAGGATTCCAGCCAGCTGCCCGTGTCTTCCAGTGTGCTACCTGCAGCCTCGTGGACTGTCAGTTTGCCCTGGACTGCCCAGGTATGAGGCCGTGGGGGACTATTGTGTTAATGGTAAGGAAATCTTCCTGAACTTCACAATTCTTAGGTTATTTTTGTACTATTTTTTAAGTTTGGTGGCACTTGAGTGACTCCAGTCACACCTCTGGTACTGATTGAGGTCAAATGGTCTAACTTTGCTTGTAAAGGTCTAGGCTAGAAAAATGCAGAATGTATGCTCAGCAAGGGTGGTCATACATTGGGGGTAGGTAGTTTTTGGGATGGAGGTGTGTTCAGTATTAAAATGAGATTACAGTGAGCAGAGTTGACCCAAAAGACAGGATTTCCCCACAAAAATCTCTCCCTGCATTTCTCACCCACGGTCCCACGCTGAGCACACCCGCCCAAGCGTACATCTGCCCATCCCTGCAGCCAGCACAGGAGCACCATCACCTCTGTCAGTGCAGGTGGGAGCTCATGGGCCTGTCAATGCTCCCAGTGCAGGACCTGTGGACCTACACGGATGAAACCATTGTGCTGCGCTGTGACGTGCCTTTCCACACCCCCAGCAGCCTGCCCGTCACCTGGATGTTTGCCCCCAATGTGAGTTGTAGAATCATAAAATCACAGGATGGTTTGGGGTGAAAAAGACCTTCAAGCTCTTGTCATTCCAGTCCCCTGGAAGGTGTGCAGGGACACTTTTCACTAGACCAGGCTGCTCCAAGGCCCAACCAACCTGGCCTTGGACACTTCCAGGGATGGGGCAGCCACATCATACCTGCACAACCTGTGCAAGGGTGTCATGGGGAGAGTGGAAGCTTCAAAATTTATCAAATAAGCCCTGCTGCTGAGTCTGAGGTTCAGAAAGGATTCCTTTGTGTGTTTAAACTCTTCCTGGGAGATGGGTTCAGATGAAGGTAAATTCTTCCTTAGCCTCAGAATTTGGCAACAGCTTAAATCTTAGGAATTATTTTGGCCCACAAGTCCTAATGATGGCAAGTCAGATATATTTATAAAAATGAATTCTTTAATAAACTAATGAACAGGGAAAATAGATGAAAGATCTTAATCAGAATTACTACACAGTACAAAACTACAAGAACTACTAGTATAACATAGAACAGTGCACTATATCAAGGCATCTGTATTAAAGCTAGCAAAAGAAATAGTATTGAATAGGAGCCAAATGTAACTTACCACCAAAATGACAATAATGTACACAGATTCCTCCACCCTATTTATGGGAGGAACTCCACACATTTCCAGGAAAATATATAGAAGCTTTCTACTTTGCACAAGTTTGCTGTGGCTTTTATAGTTGTGAAGTGACTCTTGCTGTCAGTCAGAAATCCAGCTTATCTTCCACGTCTCACTTTGACAGTAGGATGTTCATTGGAATTTGGGAGATGCCAGAGCGGTGCTAACCCGGTGGTGCAAAAATAACTCATTACAAGACATGAAATGAGTTATTGTTTGGGTTATCTGACTGGCTGACAAACAACAGATAAGCTCTTGTGGGGGAGGAGATGCCCTGCTACACAGGGCCTCACCACACCCACAGGGAAGAAGCTCTTCCTGCAGGAGGTGACTTTTGTGACTTTTGTGTACACCTGGTTGTGCAGCCCTGGGTGGGATGGGAGGTGTGTGCACAGAGAGGGGTCCAGGAAGCACAGAGGGGACGTGCCAAGCATGTGCAGGACACAGGTGCCTGTTATGGATCCCATATGGATGAGTGCAATCCTGTGTGGATTCTGTGTTCCTGGCGGTCTGGGCAGTGCTGATGTGCCCCCCCCGTGCCCCAGCTGCGCACACAGGACATGACACTGTTCAAGGAGCTGAAAGGGAATCCAGAGAAGCCCTTCAGTCTGACCATTGAGGAACCTGCTCCAGGAACCGTTGCCTGTCGCCTGGGGGAGCCTTCCAAGCCCATTATCCGCAAGTTCTTCTACCTCAACGGTGAGCCCGGACATCTGAGCTCTCTGGGGGCAGGGAGCCGCGTGGGGCAGAGCGGGACCTGAGACGCTTGGGTCCATGGGAAGGGGGTGAGCAGGGTGCCAGGATGTCTGGCTTCATGGTGGACAGGTGGATTAGAGCATGTGTTCCCTGGTGCCTGGCTCCTCTGGGAGCATGTGGGGTGGGGCAGGGACCCCCAGATGCCAGGGTGGCTGGGGACAGCGAGGTCTGTGGCTGGAGCAAGAGCTGCAGGGGTAGCTGGTCCCTGGGTCCCATGACTGAGGGGCCTGGGTCCCCACAGTGTCAGAGGGAAGCGTGGAGGAAGAGAAAGGACTCCAGGCTGTGTTCAGCACTGTGCTGCAAGGGCTCCATGACAAGACCCCCGTGCCCCACACACCAACCATGGGGCTGGTTCTGGCTGTCGGCTCCATGGCATTCATTCTGCTGCTGATGTGAGTACTCCTCCCCTGGTGAACTGTACTCTGAAAATCCCCGTGCTTCTGGAGCTCTTCACAGACCAGCATGGGACTCCCCATCCCCTCTGGATTCTCAGTCCCTTGGGATTCCCTGCAAGTACAAGGGGAACACAGGTATCCAAGGGTGGGCTAAAGACTGCCAGGACTCCTAAATTCACAGGAGCCTCCATGTCTCCTGGGACTCCCTTTGCCCTCTGGCCCATTCCAGAATCTCCCCCATGCACACAGCAGCACTCAAGGCTGCCTTTACTTCCCCCAGATTCCTTAATTGCCCCTGAAACCCTGAAACTTTCCCCTGTTTCCCCTAGAACCCTCACTGTCCCTATGGGGGCAGTTACCCCAGTTGCCCCCAGCACACCACAGCTTCACCCTTAGGCCCACCAGTTGCTCCGAGGACCCCCCAGTTGCCCCTTGAGCAACTAACGGGAATAGGGTGTCCTCCCTGCTCCCCATTCCTCCTTCTGTCTCCCAGAGCCATCTGGCAATGCCTCTGTGTCCATCAGACGTGCCACAGATGTGGACATCAGGATACCCAAGAGGATTCAGAATCCTCAGATTCACCGTAGGGGACTTCAGCATGTGGATCCACCCCACAGGACCAACATTTCTGCAATTGCTTTTCTTGTATTGGGAATAGTTTTAAAACAGAAGTACAGAGTTCTGAAAACCTGGATTATGCTTGTGATAGAAATAGTGGGTTCTTGGGCTTGCAGACATTAAAACTGGGTACTGGGCAGCATTTTCTTTCCCTGGGTAGACATTCCAGCTGCAGCTGGAGCTGCAGAGCTGTCAGTGATGGTGAGGGTGCAGGATGGGGGAGAAGAGTAGTAACTTGACAGACTTGCTCTAGAGCTGCCTTAAGTTTGTCAAGGATCAATGGGACTGGTTCAGAAATATAAAGGATGGGTCCCTTGGCTGCCCCTGACTCCAGCAATGGCCAACAATGGCTGGAGAAAAGCTGCCAAAAATTATAATATCAATGGGATATTATAATATGGGATCTGAGGCTAAAAGAGGAGAGGAAAGCATCTCTGCTTGCTTGAGATCAGCAGATGGACAGTGTCTCTCCTTCTCCCCTGAAGGGATGCCTCTAGTTGAGCTTCACACCTCCAACTGCATTGGAGCAGACCTGGGAAGAGTTATGTATATATAACTGGGTCATAATATATATTAACACTCTGTAGTTAGTGCATTTATCACCAAGAGTCCTGAATATGCTTTCCTGTTCCTTCCCTAAACCACACTATTGGTTGAACATGGATTGTGTAAGTTCTTGTTCAACTGGGCCAGACCATGCTGGTAAATTGCAAACAGAGAATCTGTGATCTCACAAGTTCCCACTGAACACAGACAGATTTATCGTGCCAGATATTGTATCAGATCTTCTACTTCTCTGCACTGCCTGTCCCTGCCAGCCTTTCTGAGTGCCTTACAAGCAAACTATTCTACCTTTGCACATTTCCAAATTCCCTGTGTTCCCTCTGAGTGCTTCTCTGGATCCCCTCTTACTCATTCTCTTCACTTCCAACCACTCTCAGATGCACTCCATTCCTATCCAGCTGCTTTCATATCCTCTTCATTCCCCTTGTTGTGCTCTCTTAGACCCCCTCTGTTGTTCTCCTCGCACAAACAGATCGTGTCATCTGCCTTCCAGAAACCTTACCTCAGGCCCTTCAGCTGCTTCCTTTCAGGTCAGGACTGTATCCCACTGGGCACTCAAGACTTCTCCTGCTTCCCCCAGATACAGACCCCTCCACCAGGATCCCCTGCCTGTGTCATGCACCCCAGAACACACCAGTGCTTCAAACACTGCCCCACAACACTTCACCTCCCTGAGGATCTTGGGGCTGCTCTGCTGCCCCACCCAAAGCCAGGCTGGGCTGGAGCAGATTAAACAAGAGCCCCTTGACCTGGCAGCACCAGCTGCAGCGGTGGGAGGCAGGGACAGACCTATGTTTGCTCTCCACCTGGCTGGTGACTGTGGCATTCAAGTGTTTTCTGAGCAATACTCTTCGAAGTTTGCAAATATGCTATTCCCAGGGGAAATTCCATCCAAGTCACTAAGCACTCACAGAAGAGACCATTCCAAGGATTCTTGCTTGCACGGGAATTATTTTCTTTGCAATCCAGAACCACGGGCACCTCCACCTCAGCTGGTGTTTTCTGCAGGCACAAAGGAAACCAACTTGATCTCTTCCAGCAGAAAAAGGGGGGGTAGGACCCACTCAGCCCGCCCAGAGCAGAGGGCACTACAAATCCCTCTGTGCCTCCGGCCACTCCAGAGCTCGGCTCCAGAGGCATTCCCAGAGGGAGCAATGGGTGAGTACAGGGCTGGGAAGCCGTGGGGAGAGCAAAGGCAGGGCAGCTCAGCAAGAGGGAGAGGCTCCATGCACTGGTTCTTGCACACTGATGGGGAGCAGTGGCACCCGTGCCCTTTAGGGGCACTTGTCACCTCTTTGAGCACCAGCTGCTCATCCCCTGTCTTCTGGCTCACCCCAGCCAGGTGCCTGCTCCAGGGACCAGGGGTGGAATTGCTGGGTACTCTGCTCTGCCCAAAACTACCTGTTTGACTTGTCCAAGGGGAAAAGGGCAGGTTGTCTACTCCTTTGGCAAGCTTTGCAGCTTGCAGGGAGCAGCCTGATGCTGCCCAGCATGCTCAGTGCCCTCCTGCACCCCACAGGCTCATGTTAACTTCAGTGCTGCTGCCGTGGGAGGTATGGTCACATTTCTTCTTTTCTTCTTGTCCCTCTCTACCAGCTCAGTGTCTTCTGCTCCTTGCCTCCCTGCTCATCTTGGCTGCACCAGGCCATTCTGTGCACACACAAACCCTAAACACCTTCAAGAAATCTCCCTCCAACACTTCATCGAGTGTTCTGAAGAGAACCAGTAGGTAGCATCCCATGGGCATCTGGTGTTGTGTGCAGGTGTTCAGCCAGCTCTGGATAGGGCAGGACTGTGCACTGTCCCTAGCCCTGGCCCTGCTCCAGGCTGGAGGATGGTGAAGGTGTGCCTAGAGCAGGCTGCAGTGCTGTGTGTGTGTGTATGTGTGTGTGTGTGTGCACTGTGCAGGCTGGGAAGGGTGGCTTTGTGCTTGAAGGGATCATTTTCCCCCATTCCCTTAGTCACAGGCAGGGGCTGGGCCCTATTCACCTTCCTCCCAGCATGACCCTGCTGTAGTGGCACAACCCCTTGTTCAGGAGACCCAGAGGAATCCACTGGTGCCCATATTCAGCCTCTTGGACTGATATCAGCATAGCTCTGTCACTCTGTGGCCTGACTCCTGTTGGTTTTCCACACAGAAAAGGAACAGAGGGTTAAGGCCAACCCAGTCTCACCTGTCTGGGCTGGGAGAGCTGGTTATCCCCCATGCACTCGGGCCAGATGAATCTCCCTCCTGCCCAAGATCTTGTCCTGATGCCCAGGCTTTTGTTCTATCCCCTTGTGTCCTGCCCCAGCCTGGCCCAGGGACTGCAGCGAGGTTCCAGTTGGCAGCCCCAGTGGCATCTACATCATCCAGCCCATGGGGCTGCACCCCATCAGGGTGTACTGCGAGATGGGTGGGGCAGACAGGGGCTGGACCGTCATCCAGAGGAACCGGCAGGACACGGATATCACCTGGGCCGAGTCCTGGAGCACCTACAAGCACGGCTTTGGGAACATGCACGCCGAGTTCTGGCTGGGCAACGAGTACATCCACCAGATCACCAGGCAGAAGATCTACCAGGTCAGGTTTGTCATCTGGGATGCTGCAAACAACATGAAGTTCGCAGACTACAACCTGTTCAGCCTGGACGATGAGTCCCAGGGCTACCGGCTGAGGCTGGGAGCGCACTCGGGGACAGCGGAGGATGCCATGGATTCAGACAATCCCAGGAAAGTGCACAACAACATGAAGTTCTCCACCAAGGATCGGGATCAGGACACTTACAGAGGGAACTGTGCCTCTCGCTATGGGGGTGGGTGGTGGTACTCGGCCTGTTACTCTGTGCAGCTGAACGCCAAGGGGCGCCTGGCATGGGGCCGCCTGTGCCGGGGGAACTGCAGAGCCTCGGCCATCCTCATCAAACCAACTGCATACCACTAGAGCTCCTTCCCCCTTCTGTCCATGGGTGCCACCTGGCCAGGCCAGTGCCCTGCTGGGGTCTGTTTGATGATGAGGCCTCGGGGGGGAATAGGGTTGTTCCTCTATGTCAAGAACTGCTTTGTTTTCCTCCTGTCCTGAAAAGTAGCAAAGCTCCTGGCTCTGTCTCTGGCCATTCACCTGTGGTGGGTTTTGTGGGGGGGAGATATTATTAGAATGCATCTTTATAAATGCTGCAGTATCCAAGCATGTTCCTTCTGGAGAGAATGCTGTGCTCAGAAACCTAAAACCCTCCTGATCAGCATGGTCTTATGCTCTTTTTGCTTTGTGGGTACAGATGTTTTCAGCAGAAAGGTATCCATCATCACCAACTAACCTGATCTAAGCTATACTGAGCCCAGGGCAGGCCATGTCCACAGCACATATCCCTGCTGCAGTCTGTGTTCATCCTGCAGAATTAAATCACTTTCACACCTGCATAGTGTCCTTCATTTATTTGGGAACTCCTTGCAGCTGCTGCCCATTTCCTGCCAGAAGCACACCTGAAGCTTCTGGTGTAAGAAAAAGTTTTCAAAGGAAAATCTTTTCACACAGCTCAAGTGAGGAATTAGAGACAAAAAGAAGAGGGCTGCAATTCCGAGGTGGGGATCTTCCAGAAAGGGAATGTAGCATCACACAGCCAGCAGAGGGTGCGAGGGAAGCATCAGAACAGTTCAAGCCTGCCAGCCATGACCTGGAAAGCCAGGCTGATGTCATCCTGCCTCAACCTTGTGGACACTGCGGGAGAACTGGGAGACTGGAAAGGAACAGCAGTACTGCAAGGCTACACAGCACCATATGGTTGGTCTCTCTGGGCAGGTGTGAGAGCTGAGACAGCCTGACATGGCAGAGATCCCAGAATTTCAAGATTCTGGATCAGCTGGCTCTGTGTGAAATTGCTCCAGTGCAGTGATAACTGTGCACTGGACAGCTCAGCAGTGGGCACGGTACCTGTGATGTGGTCTCCTGATGCTGGGCAGGGGGAGGATGTTGGTGTGGCAGTGCTGAACAGAGCAGGAGACATTTCACTGGCTGCACTCATAGATTGACAGAATATTCTGAGTTGGAAGGGACCCACAAGGATCATCGAGTGCAACTATTCTCATTCCAACAGAGACCAGGAATGCAGCTCAGCATCACTCAGGGCTGGCTGCTGGGTGGAATGCTGTTTATCAAGCCTTTGTCCAGCCTCTCTCCTTCTATTAGGTTGTGCATCCAGGCTGGAGCACCAATGCCTTTTTAAACCAGCAGACACATCTCTTAGTCCAGAAGTGCTGCTCTCAAGTCAGCTCCAATGGGAAGCCTTTCTCAACCAGCAGCACCCTCGTATCTTCATCTTCCTGTGAAGCAGTGCTGCCCACCCTGCAGGTGCCTCCAAGGCTGCCAAAGAATGCTCCTTGAGAACTTGATAGCTCCTCAGGAGCTCTGCAGGGTGCCCTGGGACCCTGGTCACAGGCCTTGGCTCCAGAGTCCCATTTGTTCAGCATTCCAAGCCACAAACCTCCCCTGAGCTCAGCTTTCCTTCCACAGAGTGAGAAGAGGAGCTGTGGGTTCTTTCAAGCCCCGAGTTCAAACTTCCCTGCATCACAAGGGAACTTCCTAGACACATTCCCTGATTGCAGCAGGGAATAATGGGACTGTCTTACCCACATCACTCACACCCTCAGGGAGTCCACTGCCCTCTCCACACTCCAGCTTGTGGTGGTTTCTCCTCTTTCCCAGCACAGAGCAGCCACCCAGCCATGAACAGGGGTAAACTGAGTGAGGGTTTTGCATGACCAGGGCTTTGCTGGCCCTGTTGGCTAATTGTAGCCTTACAGCCACAGTCCAGTGGCTGGAACATGCCATGGAAAGGAATATTGCCTAACACACTTTCCCCCAAGTCTCCCACCCTGAAGACTGGAGAGAGTGATCCCCCCACACCTGTGTGCAGGAAGACACGAGGCAGCAGTCTGGCTCCAGGGTTTATTGCAGCTGATTCCTCCCACCGTGGGTAGCAGAGCTGTGGGGTGTGTGGGGTGTGTCCAGGGAGGGAGCAGGGCCTGGGCAAAGCAGGGTTCACCGACTGCAGGGGAAGGGAACTGGCACCATGTCCCCCTCCCCAGGATGGGAGTGGGTGCACCCACCCCAAACCAGTGCCAGTGCCCCAGTGCCAGCCAGCATCACGGCACTGGACAAAGCTGCCCGTGTGCCCAGCGCTCCGGGCGATGGCTCCTGAGCCCCAGAGCTGCCGTGTTTCAGCTGCTGAGGGAACAGGAGCTGTGGGCAGAGCAGGATGTGCACTGGGACTGGCATGGGAATGGGGCACTGAGCTGGGGATGGCGGCACCCCCTCACTCCCAGGGGGCTGGGAACGGTCAACACACATCTGTGGGTTTGACCAGGATGAGGGAGGATGCGCAGTCACCATTATCACAGAACCCTGGCCAAACAATGTAGTTTTTGGCATTGAGCAGGACGTTCTGGCACCTGTTGTACCACCACCCCCCGTAGCTCTTGGCGCAGTTCCCGCTGTACTGGTCCTGGTCCTTGTCGACCGTGCTGAACTTCATGTTGTCATGAATTCCCCCCTTCTTGGGGTGGTAGAGGGTCATGTAGTCATCCCCATCACCAGAATGCCGGCCCAGCCTCAGCGGGTACCCGCTGGCCTCGCTCTCCACCCTGAAGATGTCGTACTCGGCGTAGTGGGTGACGTTGGTTTTGTCCCGCACCACGAAGCGCACCTTGTAGGTGCCCTGCTGCGTCAGCAGGTGCAGGTACTCGGTGCCCAGCCAGTAATCGCTGTGCACATTCCCAAAGCCGTACTTGTAGGTGGTCCAGGACTGCTTCCAGGTGAGCTCGGTGTCGTGGGAGTTCCTCTGGACCACGGTCCAGCCCTTGCCGTCGGTGTCCATGTCGCACCAGACGACGCGCGGCGGGGACCTGGCGGGCTGGATGACGTACACCCCGCTGGGGCTGTTCTTGCGCAGCCGGCTGCAGTCCGGGGGGAACCCTGAGGCTGCAGCAGCAAACACCGGGTGGGGGGGAGAGAGAAGGGCCATGAGTCTATCAGGACAACAAGGAGCTTCTGAAGATCAGTGAGGACTCAGGAGAGGAAGGAGGAGTTCTCTTTGTGGCTTTTCCACTTCAGGGAACCTGAAGGTATCTGAGCCAGTGGCCTCTGCAAGAGCTCTGGAACCTATTTCTCATGGTTTGTTGTTTAATTTGGAGCCTTCTAATGCATCTTGCCAAGGAAAGAAGGGTGAAGAAATTTCCAGGATTGCCAATTATGTCCTATAAGTATGTCTGGCCCATATACCCTTGATATATTGAACTGCAGCTCTTGCAGGGACCAGAAGTATCCAAAATGCTCCATTGGATGAGGATATGTAATGAAAGTTTATGTTTTCCCTGGGGTTTATGGCACTGGATAAGTGCTGCCTTGGTCTTTTAGGGGTCTATTCCCCCAGCTTGTTATAATTTATCTGATCTCTCATGACTTACTAGCCAAATTAATTTGCCACCTAATTTATTTTCCTTGATTTGTGTCTGATGGGAGACAATTTGCTGTGGGTAATTCCAATCCAACCCATGAAACTCTGGGTACTGTATTCCTCCCTTAAAGGGAGGGAGGAAGGGGATGTTCCTAATCCAACAAGAGCTAAACAAAAAGCCAAATAGCTAAGGGGATCTCTCCTAGAACTGAGCCCCACAAACATGGCACAGCAGTCCTTCCAAGCTGTGGTGTTTTGGCAAAAACCTGTTGGTGTCAGCATGGACCCACCAAGGGGGTGAAGGCGACCTGGCAGGAGCGAGGCTGCAAAAGCCGTGGCCCAGGGGTTGTGTGTGTGAAGAGTTCCTGTGCTGTGCATCCCTTGGGGTGTTTGCTGGCCTTTCCTGGCACAGAGCAGACCTGAGGGTCCTGCTCTGCCCCTGGGTGCCCAGGCAGTGCCCCCCAGCTCCCCTGTACTCACCACTCCGGGAGCTGGCAGTGGGCGCGGCTGGGCCCGCGCTGGCACAGAGGAGAAGCATGGCCACCACGGTGGGCAGGAGGACAAGGTCCCGCTGGAGCCAGGGTGTCCCAGCCTGGAGCCCTGGGGAGGAAAGTGCCCATCACCATGGGTCCTACTGCACTGCTCCCAAGCAGACAGGAGGAGATTTCCTGGCCCACACAGGGGTACAAGCCCAAACCCTGTGTGCTGACCAACAGCACCCCCCCTTACAGCCTGCACTCACTCCTGGGGGAGATGCCACCATGCCTGGGGCAGGATCCCCGAGCAACCACACATGCCACATGCTTTGGTCAAGTAGGGAAAGGACCAAGGTGAAGCTTAGGTCTCCACATTAACCAGCCCTGACAGGATGTTGGAACACATGGCACAGGTAGCCAGGCTGGCACCAAGCGTTTGTGTTGTTTGGTGCTTTGCTCTAGCAGCCCTCCTGCTCCCAGGGAAACTCACAGCTGCTGTCCTGCTCATCATCCTCTGTGCCTTTGCATACTCACCCCATGAGGCCTCATTTGAGCCCAGCAGCACACCAGAGTGAGGTGTACCTGAGCAGGAAACTCACCCATCACGGCACAGCTGCGCAGAGAGCAGGAACCCAGCGGTGCAGCCTCCCATGCCGAGCTGTCCACGCTGGCTTTATAGGCCCTGCACACACCCACGTGTGCTCACACTCATCATTTGCACAGGCACGAGGAGGCACTTGCAGATTGTGACTGGAGCAGTTTCCAGATCCCATGACAGAACAACTGAGGGGAGGGACACACGTCCCTCCAGCCAGAGACGTACAGAATAACCCCCTCCATGCTGAGGAATTTCAGTTATTGACTGTCCCTACATAAACACTACATGTGAATTGCACACTTGGAGCAAAATCTGGAGAACTGTGATCAAAGTGAAGTGGAGAGACTCAGCTTTTTTTAAGGATATACAGAAACCAGCAAAGGAGGAGAGGTCTATGTGACCAGTGCCATGCACAACATTGGCAAGCTGAGGTCCTCAAGAGAGGTGCTCGCTCACTAATTCTCCACTGGCAGGTTTTAGGATCAGTCAGGGTCCTGCAGCCAGAGCTACAGTGTCCCCTGGCAGCCTGGCCTGTGTGCTCTGAGCAAGGGCTCCAGTTAACAAACAGCTGTCTGTGGGTCCCTTGGCCACTCCCAATCCCTGTCTTTGGCCTGGTGAGTCCCTGCAGATCACCAGCAGTTTCTCTGTCTTCCGGATCAAAATGCTCTCTGGACGAATTTGGGAGGGCTGTCCTTCCTGCCAGAGGGTCTAGGAAGCTCCATAAGCTTTTCAAGTCAAATTTAAGAAGATGTGGCCCTTCTACCTTCTTCTTCTGTGTTGGTTTCTGATCAGACTTTGTTTTCATGGCACAGCTCCACATCTACTGTTCACAGCAACCCAGGGTCAAGCTGAGGTTCCCACTCAACTTTCCACACTGTGGAAATCAAGCAGTGCCTTGATGGACAGTGGCATCCAGACCTCTCCAAGATAATGGATCCCTGGTAAGGGATTCCTGGATTGACAGGATAAGAGAAAATAGCCTCAAGTTGCACCAGGGAAGTTTTAGATTAGATATTAGGAAAAAATTCTTCATGGAAAAGGTTGTCAAGCACTGGAACAGGCTGCCCAGGGCAGCGGTAGAGTCACCATCCCTGGAAACATTGAAAAATGGTGTGGATGTGACACTTGAGGATATGGCTTGGTGGTGAACACTGATGCTGGGTTGACAGCTGAACTTACTGATCATAGAGGTCTTTTCCAACATTAACAATTCCATGATTCTATGATCAAGTTCCATCTGAAGCCTTCAATGCCACCTCTGCTAGCTTGGTGAGAGGTTAGGAGCCAAGGGTGAGCTGAGGGGGGGATGTCTGTCCTGCCAGGTCCAAGCAAGGTGGAAAGGGCTGAGTGTGAGCTCCACGTGAGGCAAACTGCTGGATCCAGGATCCTTGATGAAGAGACACAGGGCAGGGCTGGAAATACACTACAGCAGGGATGTGAGCAGCCCATCCAGGAAATAAACCATCCACAGAGTCTGAGATCAGAAAAAGGGGACAGAGAGGGGACTGGAATCCCCCACTGTGCTCCTGATGTGGCTCAGATGAGGACTGGAGGTCTAGGGCTGGGTTTAAACTGACCTCAGGAGCCCAGGGGAAGGTCCTGGGTGGGACAGGCCATGACAGCTGCTAACCCTGAAAGGACAAATCCCCCCAACTGGGCTGGCTGTGGGGGACCCAGTGCTAAGGTGTGAGGGCTGGGGAAAGGGGTCTGCAGAGCCCTCATAACTCACAACACTGCAGATCCATCCCTGGGAACAGGGAGCTCTGGCATTTTCTGTAGACATCCACGGTGTAAGCACTCCTAGAGCAGAGAGGGGCTTGAAGTGAGACCATTTTACATCAGTGGCACTTCATGATGCCCAGCTCTCCCTTGTGATTGCTGCAAGGTGCCAGGGGGCACCACGGTGCGTGTTGCACAAGGGGCAGCATGGCAGTAGCAGGGCAGGGGTGTCAGGAGGCACTGGAGCGGAACTGTGTGAAGTTCAGGGCACATTTTCCCAGGAACACTGGAGTACCTCTTCCCTGAAGGGTCTGTGGGGTTCCCGGGGGCTGTTGAGCTCAATGTCAACTCTGCAGAGACTGATTTACGCCTGATGTTTGATTTCCATCCAGGGGGTGAAAGTCATCTGGGTATTTACTTACCATCTGTGGAGATGCCCCAAGAACGTCATTCCCTGGGGAAACACTGCACAGTGAATTGTGGTTATTTTAAGGCATTTGCTTATTGGCACCAAATTATTTGCTTTGCCTCTGAGGAAAGCTCTTCACAGACTTCATTGTCGGAGGACTGATCACTTGATGGTGAAGAGCAAATAAGCCCTAAGCCACTGGTCCTGCTGCCAACCAGAGAACAAGTGCCCAGGTTTGGGTCTCATGCCTCCACCCCCTCACCTGCCCAACCCTATAACTTTCAGGCTGGACACCCCTCCAGCCAGGCCAAAACCACCCAGCTTTGTGCTCCACAGGGTGCCCAGGGAGACGGCATGGGTGAGTGTAGGGTGGGATGGGATGGGATGGGATGGGATGGGATGGGATGGGATGGGATGGGATGGGATGGGATGGGATGGGATGGGATGGGATGGGATGGGACCTCTGTGTGTGACACAGGGTACCCCAGCACTTTGTCTGCTGTGGGTTTGTCCTCCCCATACCTGGATATCCGAGTCCATCACCTTGTCTGTGCCTGCTCTGCCCTGGGCTGGGAGCTGGGGCAGGAGCCTGCTCGCTCTGTTCTTTCCAGGTTGTACAGAGCAAGCCCTGGAGTGCCACGCAGACCATCTGATGAGTTTCATATTTACCATTCTTTGCAATTTTCAGTTCTCCAAGGAAAGTGTTAAATACTCTAGACTAGAACAGCGATGTTTTAAATTTTCCTGCTGAATGTGTGATATTGAACAGGTACTCAGATCTGGAGGTCAGATGCTCAAAAGCACTTTGCTGTCCCCAGCAGAAAACTCACAAGGGGCTGATCCTTCTCCTGCATCTCCTTCCTATGCAGATTTTCCCTGAGCAGCCCCAGAGGAAGGGCTGGCACTGGGGGGATCATTTCTTCCCTAGGGGCTTCAGGGAAAAATGTCTTTAAAAATGTCCCTAAACAGAAGTATATCAACATACCAAATGTTATGTAGGAACTAAGAAGTGAATCAGCTGGACAGTTGAACTCATCTGCATGGGGCTCATGGCTCTGAGGGAGCCCTACACAGAGTTTTATTTTCCTGTTTTACTCTGAATGGGATTAGTGGCTTTTCAGTAGAAGAGTTATGATCTCTTTCTTCCCATCTCTTTCCATTTCAGCTACCCAGTGCCTTTGTCTCCTGCTTTTGACCTGCCTGCTGGCCCTGGCAGCATCTTTTGCTGATGTTGACATAAGAAACTTGTACCTCCTCAATGGCACGATGGATGACATTATGAATGCTCCCCCAGAGTCCTCCGAGCTCGGTAAGCGTGGCCCTGCAACAGGGAGAGGCAAACAAGGTCCTGGTGAGTCAGATCCTACACAGCTGACATCCTCACCAGCCTGCCCACACCTCTGCCACACCAAGGAAGGGCTAAATACTGATCTGAGAGTGTCTTACTGCAACAAGAGTAACCTTAGGGCCCCCCTCTGCTTGCTGCCTGTGGCATGAAGTTCTTCTATCCATAAGGGACAGGAGAATAGCCCAAAGCTCAGAGCTCACAGGCTCCCAGGGGAAAGGACAATTTGGCCTCACTGGCAGCAACACCAAGCCCAGAGTCTTTGGGCTGTGTGCTCTTCCTTGGAGAAGAAGTGTTTGAGATGCTAGCAGGCATCTGACAAGTTTACTCTCCACACTCACTCCTGTCTCCTGTGTTCATTTAGGTGATGGTGATGGACATGTCCGACAGGCCAGAGACATCGCCCACCACCCACCAGCGAGCCATGGTGAGTCCCTGCGCCTGCCTGGGAGGGGTCACCATCACTGGGCTCACAAGAGCTCTCAACTTAGCCACGTTTTACACATGCACTGGCTCCTCCCAGGAAAATGTTGATTTTCTGATGGGCTGCAGAGGAGCCAAAGCTCATAACCTCAGGGGATTCTGCTACCAGCCGTGTCCTGGGCTCACTACTTGATGAGGTGCTTTTTGCAAGGGGAATTAGCCAGATAAAGGTCCCAGCTGGAAAGTGGTGCTTCATTATGGGAAGTAGTGATTAGTCATTTTCTTATTTTCACTGCACAGTCAATGAGAAGAGTGGATCTGAATTTCTGAGCTGGCTGGGCCAACATTAGCCCATAAGGCCAAAGATAGGCCCTACCTGTGTGGGGACAACCAGTGACAGAGGTACTGGGGAAGGCCATAATCAAATCCAACAAGTCAGAAAACCTCTGAAGAGCTACTTGGGTAAGGCCAGAGAACAACAGTGGCTCCGCCCTGTTGACATCCCAAGGGCTGATTTAATTGTTAGATATTTGGATGTCATGATCACCCTCTCTCTGAGGCAAAGCCCCAAACCTCTGTGCAAGTGTCTTTGTCCCCCAGATTTGCATTTGTCTGTGGTGATACATCATCTGCATGACACAAGCAAATCACTGAGACTGAACCCACCCTGCATGAGGGTCCTTGGGTGACAGCAATGCCTGGCTTGGTCTCACCAGACATTTTTGCAGCCTGTCTCCATCAGTTTGAATCCGGTCTTAGGAAGATGTGAAGCTCAATTCTCACACTGATCATGTCAGGATTTTGATTTATTCCCGTGATCCCATGGCAGGAATACAGCCTGGGAATGTGTGTGCAAAAGGATGTAGACACAAAAGAATCACCCCATTTTCAGGGGATTTAATAACCAGTTCTTGTTTCCAGCCTCATCTTGGCCCAAGGACTGCAGTGAGCTCCCCCGTGGAAGCCACAGCGGCGTCTACATCATCCAGCCCAAAGGGCTCCATCACCTGGTGGTGTACTGCGAGATGAACGTGACCCACGGGGGCTGGACCGTCCTCCAGAGGAACCAGAGGGACACTCCAGTCACCTGGGCCGAGTCCTGGAGCACCTACAAGTTCGGCTTTGGGAACGTGCGCACCGA